TTGTAGTTTGTGTTTTCATGATCCTTTTTGCGAATGCACCTTTGCGTTAGTACTTTTGAGCATGCTTCTTGTACTTTTCATTATGGGCGTATCTTTTCTAGCTAGTGTTCTTGTGCACGTTTCCTTATGCGCATTCATGTCCTCTAACTGTAGCATGTATTCTTATGATAGCTTTTGGAATCCAATTTTGACCATGTTCAAGCCCGAATTTGCAAATTTGACGTTAGACAGGAATTGTAGCTAGCTGAAATAGCTTTCTAATGTCACAAGAACAGTTGATTTGGAGTCCGGATGAGAACGTTATGCTCGACTTCGTGGACACAACCAAAGATGTTGAGGGCTCCTCTCTTCTAATATGATTTTATTTTCCTAATTGCAACTCTTTTCTTACTCTTTGGTCATTTTTGGTTCGTGGACACCTAATTATCAATTTGTACCTATAAGATACTAAATCCACCAATTTAAACAGAAATATAAATTAATCAAAAAAAAAAAATCCACGTAAACGTAAGCGTAGAGTGTTATTTCTACACTCCACGGTATGTATCTTTTGTATCTAGTGTTTTTGCTGTTGTTTGCTTATGCGTATTAAAGTCCTAGTGTTGTACTGTTTTTAAGAACGTTGTTGCGAATGCACTTTTGCGCATGTTTTTCTACATGTACGTTTGTGCATGTCCATTTGAGCGAGTGTGTATGTGTATGTTTGTTGATTTGTATTAATGTCCTAGGATTGTAGTTTGTGTTTTCATGATCCATTTTGCGATTGCACTTTTGCGTGAGTAATTTTGCGCATGCTTTTAAACTGTTACTTACGTGCGTATTTTTTCTAGCGAGTGTTTTTGTGCACGTTTCTTGATGCGCATTCATGTCCTCGAACTGTAGCACGTATTTTCATGATCGCTTTTGGAATCCAATTTTGACCATGTTCGAGTCCGAAGTCGAAAATTTGACGTTAGATAGGAATTGTACCTAGCTGAAATAGCTATCTAATGCCGCCGGAACCAGTTGATTTGGAATCGGATGCGAAAGTTATGCTCGACTTTGTGGACACTACCGAAGATGTCTAGGGATCCTCTCTTCTGATTTAATTTTATTTTCCTAATTGCAACTCTTTCTTACTCTTTGATCATTTTTGGTTCGTGGACACCTAACTATCGATTTGACCTATAAGATACTAAATCCACCAATTAAAACAGAAATATAAATTAATCCAAAAAAAAATCCACGTAAACGTAAACGTAGAGTGTTATTTCTAAAGTCCACTTTATATTTGTATCTAGTGTTTTTGCTGGTTGTCTGGTTATGCGTATTAAAGTCCTAATATTGTAGTTCGTGTTAGTAAAATCGTTGTTCCGAATGCACTTTTGCGCATGTTTTTTTACATGTACGTTTGTGCATTTCCAGTTGAGCGAGTGTGTTTGTGCATGCTTGTTGATTTGTATTAATGTCCTAGGATTGTAGTTTGTGTTTTCATGATCCTTTTTGCGAATGCGCCTTTGCGTTAGTACTTTTGAGCATGCTTTTGTACTTTTCATTATGGGCGTATCTTTTCTAGCTAGTGTTCTTGTGCACGTTTCCTTATGCGCATTCATGTCCTCGAACTGTAGCATGTATTTTTATGATCGCTTTTGGAATCCAATTTTGACCATGTTCAAGCCCGAATTTGCAAATTTGACGTTAGACAGGAATTGTAGCCAGCTGAAATAGCTTTCTAATGTCACAAGAACAGTTGATTTGGAGTCCGGATGAGAACGTTATGCTCGACTTCGTGGACACAACCAAAGATGTTGAGGGCTCCTCTCTTCTAATATGATTTTATTTTCCTAATTGCAACTCTTTTCTTACTCTTTGGTCATTTTTGGTTCGTGGACACCTAATTATCAATTTGTACCTATAAGATACTAAATCCACCAATTAAAACAGAAATATAAATTAATCAAAAAAAAAATCCACGTAAACGTAAACGTAGAGTGTTATTTCTACACTCCACGGCCAAATCCACCAATTAAAACAGAAATATAAATTAATAAAAAAAAAAATACATGTAAACGTAAAAGTAGAGTGTTATTTCAACACTAAACTGTATCTTTTTTATCTAGTGTTTTTGCTGTTGTTTGTTGATGCATATTAAAGTCCTAGTGTTTTAGTTCGTGTTTTTAAGAACGGTGTTGCGAATGCACTTTTGCGCATGTTTTTTTACATGAACATTTGAGCATGTCCATTTGAGCGAGTGTGTTTCTCGTGTTTGTTTTCATGATCCTTTTTGCGAATGCACTTTTGCGTGAGTACTTTTGTGTATGCTTTTGTACTTTTACTTATGTGCCTATCTTTTCTAGCGAGTGTTTTTGTGCACGTTTCTTGATGTACATTCATGTCCTCGAACTGTGGCACATATTTTCATGATAGCTTTTGGAAACCAATTTTGACCATGTTCGAATCCTAATTTGGAAATTTGATGTTAGAAATAGCTCTCATATGCCGCCGGAACTAGTTCATTTGGAGTCCAGATGAGAAAGTTATGCTCGACTTCGTGGACACTACCAAAGATTTTGAGGGATCCTCTCTTCTAATTTTATTTTATTTTCCTAATTGTAACTCTTTTCTTATTCTTTGATCATTTTTGCTTCACAGACATCTAATTATCGATTTGTACCTATCAGATACTAAATCCACCAATTAAAAAAGATATATAAATCAATCCAAAAAAAATTCCACGTAAACGCAAACGTAGAGTGTTATTTCTAAATTCCATTGTATCTTTTGTATCTTGTGTTTTTGCTGTTGTTTGGTTATGCGTATTAAAGTCCTAGTGTTCTAGTTCGTGTTTTTAAGAACGTTGTTGCGAATGCACTTTTGCGCAGGTTTTTTGACATGTATGTTTGTGCATGTCCATTTGAGCGAGTGTGTTTGTGCATGTTTGTTGATTTGTATTAATGTACTAGGATTGTAGTTTGTGTTTTCATGATCCTTTTTGCGAATGCACTTTTGCGTGAGTACTTTTGTGCATGCTTTTGTACTGTTACTTATGTGCGTATCTTTTCTAGCGAGTGTTTTTGTGCACGTTTCTTGATGCGCATTCATGTCATCGAACTGTAGCACGTATTTTCATGATCGCTTTTGGAATCCAATTTTTACCATGTTCAAGTCCGGATTTTGAAATTTGACGTAAGACAGGAATTGTAGCCAGCTGAAATAGCTTTCTAATGCTGCCGGAACCAGTTGATTTGATGATGGATGAGAAAGTTATGCTTGACTTCATGCACATTACCAAGGATGTTGAGGAATGCTCTCTTCTAATTTGATTTTATTTTCCTAATTGCAACTATTTTCTTACTCTTGATCATATTTGCTTCATGGATACCTAATTATCGATTTGTACATATAAGATACTAAATCCACCAATTAAAACATAAATATAAATTAATCCAAAAAAAAAAAAATCCACGTAAAAGTAAACGTAGAGTGTTATGTCTAAACTCCATTGTATCTTTTGTATCGAGTGTTATTTCTACACTCCACTTTATGTTTTGTATCTAGTGTTTTTGCTATTGTTTGGTTATGCGTATTAAAGTCCTAGTGTTGTAGTTCGTGTTTTTAAGAACGTTGTTGCGAATGCACTTTTGCGCATGTTTTTCTACATGTACGTTTGTGCATGTCCATTTGAGCGAGTGTGTTTGTGCATGTTTGTTTATTTGTATTAATGTCCTAGGATTGTAATTTGTGTTTTCATGATGATCCTTTTTGCGAATGCACTTTTGCAACAGTACTTTTGTGCATGCTTTTGTACTGTTACTTATGTGCGTATCTTTCTAGCGACTGTTCTTGTGCACGTTTCTTCAGCACGTATTTTCATGATGGCTTTTGAGTCCGAATTTGGAAATTTGACGTTAGACAGGAATTGTAGCGATCTGAAACAGCTCTCTAATGCCGCCGGAACCAGTTGATTTGGAGTTTGGATGAGAAAGTTATGCTCAACGACACTACCAAAGATGTTGAGGTATCCTCTCTTCTAATTTGATTTTATTTTCCTAATTGCAACTCTTTTCTTACTCTTTGATCATTTTTGTTTCATGGACACCTAATGTGACACCCCTTTTCTAATTACACTTACTTAGTAATTTAGAATATGCTAGCGGAAGACTTATAGAAAATAATGAGTGTGGAATGCTCGTTTTAAAAATCACCTTCTACAAATAAAAAAGTTACGCATAAATTTTTCTTTTAAAATCAGAGGAAGAGTATCCACATATTACCATATCATATACACTTAACCAAATTTCACAAAAGATGCATGCATGACTACATTATTTAAATTATCAAGAGTAAAGATTAGGAATTTCGGACACATTAGATAGATAAACTTCGAAAATTATTTTCTCTTAAACCCTTCGTGAAAAGACTTTTAAAATTTAACCACATACTCTAATATGGGTCTTAATCACTCCTTTAAAACAGTTTGAAAACAACATTAGCCATTTGAGAGAAATAATTCAACACAGTTTGAAAACCCAGAATAGGGGAGGGAACTTTGAAAATTATTTATAAATTCCCTACTATTCTAGACACTACAAAATTTTATACTTAATTAGATAAGTGAGTTAGGATCGTGCTCCAAGTTAAATGGATTCATTTGACTAAGAACAACTTCCTCAAATGACTCAGCACGTGCACAATTACGGATATTAATTCATAATAAATTCGTGACTTATCCAAATGATGCAAAAGACCTACCAAAATAACCCTAACAACAATAGGGCAGAACACAACATATAAGTAATTCTAAACAGAAAGTATATTTAATACTGATTATCGAACAATAGGGCAGAACACAACATATAAGTAAGCGATAAGCATTATATAGAAGTTTGGCAAAAAGGGGAAATCAAAATCCTAATTATTATTAAATGCAATGTTTTTACTAATAAGATCCCCCGAGGGGTCGAAAGAGTACGATAACATATACCTAAGACGGTATCGAAAGTTTTTAAAATTAAACTATAAATAAGTGAATCCACATGACTAGATTAAGAGAACACAAGATCCACACGCCTTCCATATGAACACATCCTTCGATTCTCGAACTCGACTCCAACTTTACGACTCGTGCTCGGGATTGAAAGTACCTACAAGCATTTCAACACCTATATGAGTCTTTAGGACTCAATGAGAATTCCAATGAAATACCAAATACAGATAGGCAAACAAACATATATTTATGATATGTATATATGTATATATGCCATCTCAAATCACACACATACACTATATAAACATTTCGATCTTACCTCAATCGTCATTTCATTGAGGGACTTTATCAATTTACCTTTACCTTCTCGGATACCTCTTAGACCTTCTCATTTTACCTCTTAGACCTTCATTTCATCATTTCATAAGGAATAAGAGTAAATTCCTTACAAGGGAGTCGTCATTCTTTTACACACACATTCATTGAAGTGCTCATACAATGTGTGAGAAAAACAGTTTTGTTTACATATCCTTTGGAAAATCAAGTAAAATCATAGACAATAAGCCTTCATTTATTTGGAACCCGTTTCATAAGTGGAATCAAACCACACACTCTTCATCTCATTTTAGGGGTATCCGTCCCTCATACCCCGTGCTTATTCGATCTATGTTTTACAAGATTTTCCAACTTTAAAAACGTGCAAGTGAAGTTAGTATATTTATTCTTCATTTCACATATTCAATGTTAGCTTTCACATAAGCACATATATTTCCACATATTTCACAAAGGCACATAGTTTAGTCATAAATTACGAAAGCAAGTAAGACACATAACAACTCAAGCAAAGAACATAGATCACATATTTACACATATAGCAAAACAACTCAAAGCATTCGGTTATTTATAATTACTATCTCCAAGTTTCATTAATTAAAGTTCAAGCCCTCTTTCTCAAGAGACTTGAAGTTTTCTTTCAAGTAGCACCAAATTTCCATTTATTTCATTTTCTTTCCAAAATATTCGAACTATCAACAACTCAATAAACAAAATTCCATTTTTATAAATCTTGTTTTCGATTTTTATCTTCGTATATTATCTTATTACTCATAGATCATAAACATTGATCGTAAGCTTCCTCGACCCGGAGGGAGTACACTTACAACCACGTAGGTCGATATATATACACAAAGAAACATATACTTGTATATAGCACATACAGATTACAAATAAACCATGGATCAAGTACTTTCTTCGACCACGCAAGTTTATGAAAACCATGGATCGAAGTTTCTTTAAGATCACGCAGGTCTAGTATATATATATAAATATACATACATACATAAAAATTAAATTACAATATTATTCTTAGTTCTTCAAGATTATATCATTTAAAGCTTAGATACTTACATGCATGGATGATATAACAATAAACAAGTAAAGTACTATAACTTCCCAAATTTTGGGCCATTAAGAACAAAGAAGGTGAAAGAAGAAATAATATTGGTGAAGAATCACTTGTAGCAAGAATATGAAATTCTCACCTTAATCTTCTTAGATAATTGGAAGGGTGTTCTTTCCTTTCTACAAGGAGAAGAAGAAGAAATTTTAGAGAAAGAGGAAGAAGAAGCTTAGCTTCTTGAATTTTCCGAAAATGATGAAAAGAAACAAGAGGAAGAAGACATACTCCTTTGGCCAAGAATTTTACTCTTGAAAGAGAGATTTTGGGGATTTTCTACACTACTAATTCCGAAAATGGAAGAGAAGAGAAAGAGATTTTGACCTTTGATCTTTATGATGTCTGGAGAATATGATAAAATAGATGAAGGCTTGGGTTCTATTTATAGAGTAGTGGGGGGGACTTGCAACCTTAAAGATTAAGAATTGAAGAGTGACCTTTTTGCAATTTAGAAAACTTACGAATTATCTAGTGGGACTTCTTTGCAATTTTGATTTAATTATTAAAAAAATAAATTCAAAAGGAAAATCTTAATGTACATGGGCTCACCTAGAGAAGGGTTGTATTAAAGGAAAATTTTGGTCTTGTGTTGTACCTTGGTCAAAATTGAGGGATGAATAGGAGGAATTTTCTATTTTTACTTAAGAAAATATGTGATTTAAAGTTCTCCTAACAAATAAGTTCTATCAAATAAAGAAGTATAATTAATTTCTAGATTAATAATTAACTAAGATGATCAATTTAAATTAGTGCAAAATTATTTCGGATTAATGCATTCTATATGAAACTTCACCGGTTATCACATAAATAAAATCTTAAACTAATAAACGCACATAAGAGATAAATCACGTTAACTAAATAGATGCAAATTAATGAAAAATTAAAGTATCGGAGACGCGGGGTGTTACAACCTCCCACCCTTAAAGAAATTTCGTCCCCGAAATTTGTACCTTTCTTTATTATGTCCGGGTACCGACTCTCAATCTCATCCTCGAGTTCCCACGTTGCCTCATCCGGAGAATGGTTTTTCCAAATAATTTTGATGAGGCGGATTTCTTTATTTCGTAGTTTCTTAATCTTTCGGTCTAAGATTTGGACGGGTTCTTCTATAAAAGATAGGTTTGGGGATAAGTCTAGAGGTTCGAATTCAAGGATGTGGTCGGGGTTAGGGAGATATTATCGGAGCATGGATACGTGAAAGACATTATGTATTCGAGATAGATGTGGTGGTAGGGCAAGGCGATAGGCTTGAGTACCGATTTGATTGAGAATTTCGAAAGGTCCAATATATCGAGGGCTTAGCTTCCCTCGTTTTCCGAATCGCATAATTCCTTTGAGTGGAGCGACTTTTAGAAAGACGTGGTCTCCAACATTGAATTCTAAGTCTCGTCTCCTTTTATTTGCGTATTTTTATTGGCGATCTTGGGCCGATTTCATTTTCTCTCGGATGTTTTTGATTATGTCGACTGTGTGTTGGACTAGTTCGGGGCCCAATAATTTTCGCTCGCCGACTTCGTCCCAATGGATTGGAGATCGGCACTTTCTTCCGTATAATGCTTCGTATGGCGCCATTTCAATCAACGATTGGTAGCTATTATTGTACGAGAATTCGATGAGCGGTAGCCGGGTTTCCGAATTGCCACCAAAATCCATTATGCATGCTCGGAGCATATCTTCGAGAGGTTTCATCCTTCTCTCGGATTGACCGTCGGTTTGGGGATGGTATGCCGTACTAAAGGCTAGACGGGTCCCCATTGCTTCGTGCAAGCTCTTCCAAGATTTTGAAGTGAATCGGGGGTCTCAATCGGAAATAATTGATATAGGAATCCCGTGGAGTCGAATAATTTCTCGGATGTAAAGTTCGGCTAGCTTTTCGAGACTAAAGGTATTCTTGACCGGTAGAAACTGAGCGGATTTGGTTAGCCGATCAACTATCATCCATATTGAGTCAGAACCTTTATGATTTTTCGGAAATCCTTGAACGAAATCCATGGTTACCCTTTCCCACTTCTATTCAGGTATGAGGTTGGGCTGTAGAAGTGTGTCGGGCCGTTGGTGTTCCGTCTTCACTTGTTGACAAACTAGGCATTCGGACACGAAATTGGCTATGTCTTTCTTCATTCTGGGCCACCAATAGAATTTCTTCAAGTCTTAGTACATTTTTTTTTCACCAGGGTGGCAAAAGTAGGGGGTTTTGTGAGCTTCGCCGAGAATTATTTCTTTCATCTCTTTGTTTGCCGGAACGCAAATTCTTCCTTGGAATTTTAAGAGTTCGCCATCAGGGATCGAGAAATTGGGATTTCGACCAGTTGATAAGCTTTCTCGGATTTTTAGAAGTTGATCATCAAGGAGTTTGGTTGATTTGATAGTCGACTCGAGTGGTGGTTCAATGATCAAAGCGCACATGGACTTCCGGCTAAGAGCATCAGCCACAACATTAGCTTTACCGGGGTGGTAAAGTATTTCGCAATCGTAATATTTGACCAATTCGAGCCATCGTCTTTGTCTCATGTTAAGTTCCTTTTGGGTTAAGAAGTACTTTAGGCTTTTGTGGTTGGTGAAGATCGAACACTTCTCTCCGTAGAGATAGTGCCTCCAAATTTTGAGGGCGAAAACAACGGCGACAAGTTTCAGGTCGTGCGTCGGGTAATTCTTCTCTTAATCTTTCAATTGAGAAGAGGCATAGGCAATTACGTTTCCATTTTGCATTAGGACGGCTCCGAGTCCGTGCTTGGAAGCATCGCTATAGAGTACGTAGTTTCCGGTTTTGTCCGGTAAGGCGAGAATCGGGGCAGAAGTTAATCGACTCTCTCTCTCTTGGAAGCAAGACTCACATTTGGCAGTCCATTGGTACTTGGCATCTTTTCGGGTCAATCGAGTGAGTGGAGAAGCGATTTTGGAGAAGTTCAGAACAAATCGTCGATAGTAACCCGCGAGACCGAGGAAGCTTCGAATTTCTCCAACATTTCGGGGAGTCGGTCTTCCTTGGATCAACCGATATTCCTTCTTTTGAGATGACGTGCCCAAGGACGTGGACTTGGCGCAAACAAAATTCACATTTGGGGAACTTTGAGTAAAGTTGGTTTTCTCGGATGGTTTCGAGCACGATTCTCAAATGTCCTTCGTGTTCTTCGTCATTCCGAGAGAAGATTAAGATGTCATCGATGAAGACTATCACAAATTGGTCGAGGTACTTCCGGAAGATTCGGTTCATTAGATCCATGAAAGCGGCTGGGGCGTTGGTTAGATCGAACGATATTACTACAAACTCGTAATGGCCGTAACGAGTTCGGAAAGCGGATTTTGGGATATCTTCCTTCTTGATTTTCAGTTTGTGATATCCGAAACGAAGATCGAACTTTCAGTACACCGTGGAGCCTTGGAGTTGGTCGAAAAGGTTCCGCTTACTTTTTGACGAAGAGGACGGGAGCGCCCCAAGGAGAGAAGCTAGGGCGAACAAACTTCTTCATGGACACCTAATTATCGACTTGTACCTATAAGATACTAAATCCACCAATTAAAACAGAAATATAAATTAATCAAAAAACAATCCACGTAAACGTAAACGTAGAGTGTTATTTCTACACTCCACTGTATCTTTGGTATCTAGTGTTTTGGATGTTGTTTGGTTATGCGTATTAAATTCCTAGTGTTGTAGTTCGGTTTTTTCAGAACGTTGTTGCGAATGCACTATTGCGCATTTTTTTTTTACACGTACGTTTTTGCATGTTCAGTTGAGCGAGTGTGTTTGTGCATGTTTGTTGATTTGTATTAATGTCCTAGGATTGTAGTTTGTGTTTTCATGATCCTTTTTGCGAATGCACTTCTGCGTGAGTACTTTTGTGCATTCTTTTGTACTTTTACTTATGTGCTTATCTTTTCTAGCGGGTGTTTTTGTGCATGTTTCTTGATGCGCATTGATGTCCTCGAACTGTAGTAGGTATTTTCGTGATCGCTTTTGGAATCCAATTTTGACCATGTTCGAGTCCGAATTTGGAAATTTGACGTTAGACAGGAATTGTAGCCAGCTGAAATAGCTATCTCGACTTCGTGGAAACTACCAAAGATGTTGAGGGATCTTCTCTTCTAATTTGATTTCATTTTCCTAATTGCAACTCTTTTCTTACTCTTTGATAATTTTGCTTCATGGACACCTAATTTTCGATTTTGCACCTACAAGAAAATAAATCCACCAATTAAAACAGAAATATAAATTAATCTAAAAAACAATCCACGTAAACATAAACGTAGAGTGTTATTTCTACACTCCAGTGTATCTTTTGTATCTAGTGTTTTTGCTGTTGTTTGGTTATGCGTATTAAAGTCCTAGTGTTGTAATGTTTTTAAGAACGTTGTTGCGAATGCACTTTTGCGCATGTTTTTCTACATGTACGTTTGTGCATGTCCATTTGAGCGAGTGTGTTTGTGCATGTTTTTTAATTTGTATTAATGTTCTAGGATTGTAGTTTGAGTTTTCACGATCCTTTTTCCGAATGCACTTTTGCGTGAATAGTTTTGTGCATGCTTTTGTACTTTTACTTAGGGTTAACTGCAAAAAATCCCCTAAACTTTGGATGTTTTTGCGTTTTACCCCCTGAACGGAAAAAAGTTGCAGGAGCATACCTGAACTTGTTAAATTGTTGCACCGACGATTAAAAAATCCATTTCTTGCAAAATTTGTGCCTGAATTGCACGTGAAAATGAAGGGGCATTTTCGTCCATTCACAAGATTTGAAGAAAAAAGAAAAAAAAATTAAAAAGAAAAAAGAAAAGAAAAAGAAAAAGAGAAAAGAAAAAGAATAAATAAATCGAACCCCATTGTTGAAGAAGAAAGGAGTAATTGTTGTTGTTTCTAAACCTCAGGCGGCAATCTTTATCACCGCCGCCAACTCATCATCGTCATTGTTGGAACTTGGAAGAATCACTCCCGCCACCGCTGCAACTTTTCCCCACTGGAAATAACCTGTACTCCATCAACACAGTACTCCGATCTTGTTGTTGACCCTATTCCGTGGACTACCACCACATCCGTTTAGAAAATGATTTCTCAACTTATCACTGCAAAGTTCGTAAAGAGCTAAAGAAGACAAAAGCTTTGGTTTTTCAGAGGCGAACTCGAATCAAAGATTTGGGGCGAGGGAGATGAAATTGTAGTAGTGGAAGGGAAAAAAGATTGAGATTTATTGGAGATTAGGGATTTTTTATATTGATTTTTAGTAATTTTATATGATAATTTCAGGTGGTGGTGCGGCGG